GTAGGTGGGCCGGCTTCACGTCTTCGGGACAATACCATTCGTGTTTCTCGAACTGCGTCTGCTGCAGCAAGTCCGGACTCGCTCGCCTATTTGCCGGTAGACACGTAACAAACACATAACTCCGCTCCGCCGAGAGTTACCGGTGCGACTGTCGCGCGAGCGTATGTGCACCCCGACGATCCTCAAGTTCCTCGTTCACTTGCAGGCAAGTGAACGAACGTCGGACGGAGCGACGGAAAGAGAGAGCGTCTTTCGCGCGCGTTTCCCGTGGACGAGGAGCGTCCATGCGAACTTCCGCGATCGCGGAGTTGGCCGATGCAATTTCTTGCGAGAGCGAGCGAGCGAGCGCAGAAATTTCCGGACAGGAGCGAGTCGCGCGCGTATCGCGCGAAACGTGCAGTCTGTTGTGAACGACGTCCTGCAGAGTTCAGCGGAAGAAGTTGGTGGACGGGCGGCCAGAAAAAGCCGTCGCGATGGAGGACGTACTCCGCCCTTACCGAGTTGTGCCGGCAGTTTAGGTTTAGCTTGATCAACTCCGCGTTAGAGCTCTTTGTCTTTTTATAGCGGCCTTATAGCGAGGGGAGGATTACGGCCGGCAGATTAAAGCTGTCTATTACAGACTGACGTTTCGGCCGTATGTGCGTGCTCTGCTCTTTCATGGACGACGTCTTTCCTCGGGATGACGTTGCGCTCGGTAGGAAAACGGCGAAACTCGGTTCCCAAAGGCTCGTCTACAATACGCAGAGCAAGCTTGACGTATAAGTCGGAATAAAAATTAGATATAATTTATTTGCGCTTACACGTCCTCTTGATCAGCCTCTCAATAACTCACCTTTTCTTGCTCAGTTTTTAATCATTTTAATGAATTTCTTAACGTTAAATACCAGTTTTTTATCTTCGTAGAGTATCTAGTATATGAAAAAAGAAAGATAGGCAACCGTGAATTTTTATATAATTATAAATAAACAAATAGTCAAAATTTGTGTTTGTTATAAAAAAAATGTCACTTACTAACTAAACTATTATCAATATCGAAACGACAATTTAGGCGCTTATTTAGCATACTTTAAAGTATTTTTCAGAATTTTGTCAGATTTAAAAAAAATATATAATTTAGATATCTCTTATAATAGTGTCTTGCAGATTTTTTGAGTCACTGAATCCTAATCTGTGTGTGTGTGTGTGTGTGAGGTCAGAATTTTGAAATCTTTTAAAATCCACGATGGTGGAACTAAAATGAATTTTAAAATTTCGACTTTTTATTCGTAATCTACGACCTAAAAGATCCTCGAGTACAAAGTTTAAAAAAAATTGGTCTAATAGAAAAATTCCCGTGACACAAAGAATTAAGTAAGAGAAATACTTTTGATGTAGTAAAAAAGCTGCAGTATGAGAGCGTAAGCGAAATAAATTATCTCTTACTCCCTAACTTTCTTACGTCAACCTTACTCTTCGCGTATTGCATAGACGAGACTTGAACTAGCGAGGTGTCTAATTCCGAAGTAGCGCGATCTCCAATTATTGTTCGATATGACTCAATTAACGTGACATCCTCCGCACACTCCTTTTTTTAAGCTGGCGCGACGAAAAAACATATGAGCCTTTTGGAATTGACACCCACTTCGTATCCTTCTTTCCCTCTTTGTCTTATCCTATTTCTCCCATCGACCTGTCGACCTGGTGAAAATATTACGGTATCGACGTATGGATATATTTAAAGTCCCTGAAGACTTTTTCGCTTGAACATTTTTCGCCGTAATTTAAATCACACGCATATGTCAGCGTCAGCCGACTCGCGGGGCGCGTTTCGGCGCCCGGCGCGCTTTAATTCCCGATTCGTGCTCGCGGATATTCCGGTTAACAAAGAGCGCTCGGCGAAGCACTTCTCCCGGTGGCGGTTTTTATCAATCCGCCGCTGGTACTACGCGGCCGTAATTAGGTCAAGAGAATGGAGGTGCCTACCAATCGGCTTGGCCATTATCGAAATCCGTTGCTCGTAAATTTCCCACGATACCATCGGCACTCGGCCCGACGGGAGACTGTTGATCGGTTACAGCATCGTCGTCCGTCGCTCGTTATCATTGATGAGAACACGAAATGAAGTAAGGATTCCCGCGCGCTTTATGGTTCACGATATTGCGTCCAAGTTCGCAAACGGTCGCTCAGCATCGCCGACGATTACGTCGCGCGACCGTTTAACGACGATCTTAATTTCACGTCGGTATCGGCTGCGATATTCCTTCTCCTTCTCTCGCAATATATCATTGCTGTCGCACAGATAATCCCGGAATAGCCCGGTTCCACCGTTAACACTCATACAAGTGCCTTTTCGCATCGACCTAATGAAATTTGGACGTCGATTTTACGGCTCGAGAGCCCTGTAACAGCGAACGTTAGTTTCTCCGCGTTCTTAGGCGCGCACTTGGAGATGAGTCAAAGCGCGCGTTATACCGCTTCGAACGATACTAGCCGCTATTCCCGCTAATGACGTCGAAGTTCACCGGGAACCCTCCCGGCTACGTCGTAAAGCCCTGGAACACTGGTTTTCTGCTCCATTAGGTCTCGGGACCTTATTATAAAACTTTCAGGTTTTAAGGATATAATTAACGAAGAATGTTCTCCCCTTTACGAGCCGTCGACGGGCGAAATAAACAGGGCGAATGTACATCTTACCCTTTCTCGATTGATTTCTGTCTTGAGTATAAACTTTTAATACCACTTCGCTATTAAGAATTCTCCAGTTTTCATCCGCTTGAAAAGTCGCTCCTTTCTTTCTCTTTCCTCCTCTTCTCTTTCCTTCTTTTATTTTCTCTCTCTCTCTCTATCTTTCTCGCGGACACTTGTGTTCCTTTTCGATCATTATTTCTCGTATTTCTACGCTACACGAGAACACAGTTGATTTCGAGGTGTTGTCTAGCCGAACGTAAAATTAGAAGGTAAATAAACAATCGATAATTTTACCCCCATCTCTATGTTTAGCTCGGTTACTCGGTGGATATTATCAGCTGATATTTATTAACACGATACGCGCTCTAGGGATGAGACCAGGGACGCGTATGGCGAGTGGAAAAGATTAATATAGTTGAAACGGAGTCGCCGAGACGTATCTTATCACGGCACCTGCGACGCGCTTTGATAAATATCTCGTTCGCCTTGAACTGGTGCCCCGCGACGTCACGACGATAAAACGAAGGAAAAGGGAAGGAGAGAAAGAGAGTAGATCTGTCGTTTAATAGTTTAGCACGCCTTCTGATCAAGAGACGCAATTTCGCCGGATAGGTCGGCTCGCGGCACAGAAACGCGGACCTTCTTCGTGCAATGGATGTCACGGGACAAAGAATGCATTCGCAGACGTAGCAGACGGCGTCCGTGTGCGAACGTCGGTACGATATCCTGTCGGTGGAATTATAGACGTGAGGTCGCGATAAAGGCGGTCGAGAAACGACAGGAGGGAAAGATTGTACCTGGTCGAGGGAAACTCGAAAGAAAGAGAGAGGGAGAAACCCGGGACGGTCGTGAACGGTGGACGAAATGCTCGCTGCCTTTTTAGCTTTTTTTAGGAAAGATTAAAAAAGCGCTCGCTCGCGAATATAAGTATAAAGCAGTACGGAGGCGCTTTTCTAAGTGAAAAGCCCGCTTCTTAGGGATGCGAACGAGAATTTACGGCTGTTTATGGAGTGTAATAAGTTACGCGCGCGAAGATTGGAAAGTACGAACGCGCGGGGAAGCGGCTTGCCGTCGCGGAACATTCCGGTCTAGTTTATGGCTCAGTACAGCTAACGAAAGCACCGCGAATGCATTCCGCGGTATCAACAGCAAATAACGCGCGTTGCGACCACGCGCATTGTGTATGCGATTGTCGAGGGCCGCGCGTTCAACGATTCGGCGACGGCCACTTCGCAATCGTCGCAACGAGAGAGAATTCGCGACATAATAAAAATTAATGACTCCCAAGGTTTATTCACATTTTCCTTTTCCTTTGCCATTTGCATCCGTTTTGTACGCGCACCATTACATAATTCCGCATTGCCGCAGTCGGCGATCATCGTGTTGCCTCGCGACGAAGGACCACGCTGAATGGAAAATGGGCAGCCTCATATTACAGTCTGCTCGCGAATTTATACTGCAGACATGACTTTAGACTTTATTCCCGGATAGATACGAAATATGAGGTCGTCCTGCAAATCCACGTACTTTCTGAAAGATTTCGAGGGAAGACAAACAAAATTTATTGCATTTATTTCTTGATAAAACACCTGTCTCTCACAGAGGAAGAGAAAGGGCGAAAAGTACGCGCAAATTTACGATTTTTTTTTTTTATAGAAATTGATGCTGCCAAAACCGAACAGAAAACTCTATTGAATGAAACTCTACTCGAATGAATTTCATACGTAGTACAATGTGCTCTCTTAAAGCGAATCAATAAAAATGTTTCTGACTGAATTGGTGAAATCTGTAAAATTGTAAAAGAAACAGTGTGAAACACACAAATATGTAAAAATGTGTAACACACAAATTCATTATATCGAATCCAATTATTCGCATAATTCGTGTTCATAAATTTTTCAACTTATTCAACTTTCTGTTTGTGACGTTTGTAATAATGGAATTAATGGCTTTCCTGTGTGTAACACACAAAGTCTGTGTTCGCAAAGTGGTTCACCAATAATAGGAATAGTCGTTACTATTGACTGATTTTTTCAGTGAGATTTTTCTGTGGTCGCAGTGCTTATAACTGAACCACCAGTTACAAGTATAGCATTTCAGTGAAGAATACACCAATTGCACCTTAGAAGTTAACCTTTGTATAATAATTAAAATTAGAGTGTGTTATTCGTTAAAAATTCCAAAGAGTCTTTTCGAGTCGCGATCGATCCCATCGAACAAAGGTGCACGCGTTCACGTCGCTTTCACGGAACGACGCGCGACTCAGACTCCGATCTCGGTCTCTGCCAAAGGCAAGTCGCCGGCATAACGGAGAGAACAGTAATCGCACTCACCGGACTGTGTCCTGTGCGCGGGTGCGGCGGGTGCGGGCGGGACCAATCCGGTGATGCTGCAAAGCGTCTGTCCGCTGCCGTACTTGAGAGTCCTGCAGTGACACGGTGTGGTGGGCGTCGTCAGCCCTTCGTTGCCCCTCACGGAAGCTCCGATCACCGAGATCTCGTCCAGCTCGTGTCCACTGTCGTAGTGGCACAGCCGGGTCGCACTGGTGCTGGCCCCGCCGCCGCCGACGCCGCCGTCGTCCCCGGCACCGGCGTCGGATCGACCGCCGCCGGTGCCTCTACCGCCGGTTCGGCCCCTAAGCGACTGCACCAGCCGCTTGGCGCCCGAAGACATTCCACGGAGGTGATCCAGCCTTCCGGTCTTTGTTTGCTCTTGCTCTTGCCGAAACCGCCCGAGTACACGCTCGGGGATGTCCACCTGGAAATTGCATTCTCTTATTTGGTTGAGTCATAATGATGAGATATCCACATGAATTATACGAGTAAAATGAAATGAGCAAATAGATACATAAATTAATAAATAAATATATTAAAATAAATATAAATAAATATATTAAAATAAATATAAATAAATTAATTAATAAATATTAATAAATAACTCGTCGGGGTAGTCGGTGGATCGAACAATAATCCGCGTAGAAATTTTTCAAGATTTTCCCGAATGCAGCACAGATTCCGATTAAAATGCTCAAATTTGTCCCAAAATCGGTTATCTCACTACGACACCGATTGGGAATCTTCAATTTTTGCCTTATGTAAACATGGATTCTCTGTCAAGAATCGAAACAGAACTATGGAAACTCGCGTTTCTGGATTGTTAATCTAGTCGATATGTTGACGTGCTTTTATAGTATCAAATAGGGAACCCCATTTTTGCATCTATTACTGTTTCAATAAAATAAAATATTTTTAAGGCATTTCGCAGCATTTTATTGAATAATGAAATTATTTGGAACGTCAACATGTTTTATTCAATTCTAACGTAAAATGAAGATCAGAAATGATATTAAGGAAACTTTGAGTTTCTTAGAATAGCATACTTGAAACATTACAACCAGAACCCATAGCTATTTTGGGAAATCGCTGGATTCCGTGGAATCGTGGTTAGATCCCAAGAAAATGTTCTATGAAGGAAGCTAGGGAAAACGGCGGCCAACAGTTCCGACTGCTGAGCAGTCGTGCATGATCCGTAACTACTTGGCCGGGCAGAAAGTACGAATGGCGCTTTTGATGGACGAATCAACCGTAAAATTGAAACCGTCGGCTCGCTCGAGGCTGTATAATAACTCGATTGCCGCGAGATAAAAATTCGGCTACTGCTATTCGCGTCGGACATACGTGATAAATAGTCAGTCAGACGCATACATCTCCTTTAGTCCACCCTCCCGCCTTATCGATTCTGACCGCGAAGCAGTACGCTTCGAAGGATGATGGCCTTTGATAACGTATGATGGGCCGTTCTCCACGTAAACGCGCCTACGTCGTATTCTCACGGAAAGATGGCGAAAGAAAAATCCACGTGGTCTTTCGCTTATCGATCTTCGCGAATTATTCGACACGTCCATTGTAACGTTGTCCAGACTTAGTCTAGACGAGAAGGTACAGAGGACTCGGTAAGATATCTCTTCTTGCATTAAGAGATCACTGACTTTATGCTGAGCACACAGCATACTTGTATGACGGTGGTGGCGGCGGCGGCGGCGGCAGCTGGGGTGAGGCGATCTTTGACGTCCGGAATTTAACCCTCGCGCGATTATGAGGGTTAAAGAGCAGACGTTAAAGGTCGTCATCGCGTCTCTCGTCTGTCCGCAATAGAACCGATAAGCCGGATATCTGGAATAAGGGAGTGGATGGAAGCAGGAGTGGGGACACCAGGGCGATATCCGTCTGAGAGCGACTTACCACGTGGTGATAACCGCCCCGCAGTGGTAGCTTTGCTCTCTGCCTCGGCTACGTATACCGCGACCGGTGTCACCGAGCGTCGTAGCACATGATCGCTCTCTTTCTCTGTTGATCCTCGGTAAAATACCGATCCGACACGCACTTACGGCGTTTCCGGGCACTGAGAACGCGCTACCACGAGTGCTACTCGAACCGGCCGAGCGTTCGCGCACGCCAACGACGTGGATAGCGACGACGACGAGGTCCGAGCGAGGAGATGGCGACAATCGACGGCATGCCACGCGCGCGACGCGCTAACGAGCGGGTGCACGCGAGTCGCACTTTTTGCGGACGAACGTGATCGACAGGTGTCGTATGAGGCATACGTCGCTCGTCCCGCGGTCGTCCGCGACCGTCCTGTCGAGCGACATGCCGCGGCTGCGACGTCCGCTACAAGAACACGCCGACCCGTTGACCGCTTGGGTCCGTTCCTCGCCCTCGCGGCCAGAGGATGCCCGATTGACGCGCGGAGACTCTCTTTAAGGGACGGCCAACGTGCAACAAGTGTCTCGAGCGACGGCACTCGTCTCACGTGCTATTGCGCTCTCGCCTACTCCACGTTCAACCACTCGGCGACACTCTCCCGATACTCTTGGTCCGATCAGTCGATCATCGGCTGGAGTCTCGCCCTCGAACGATGTGCAACGCGACGGTATCTAGGGAGAACAGACAAAGAGAGAGAGAGAGAG